AGAGAGAGAGAGAGAGAGAGAGAGAGAGAGAGAGAGAGAGAGAGAGAAAGAGCGAGAGAGGAGAGGGTTCTTTTTAAACATTCTTTTGTTCCAAAGATTTACTTTCAAATTGCTTATTTGGAATTGGAAGCATACCACATTTTCTAAAAAAGGGTTTTGATATAGCCAGCACTTTGTATCCTTAGGTTCTGTGTCTGTGGATTGAACTGACCTCAGGTTGAAAATATTTGAAAAAAAATTGCCTCTGTACTGAACATGTACAGATTGTTTTTCTTGTCATTATTTTCCAAACAATGCAGTATAACATCTATTTATGTAGCTTTTGCAATGCATTGGGTATTATAAGTAACCCAAAGATGATATAAAGTACATGGGAGGATATTTGTAGGTTTTAAGCAAATAATGTGCTATTTAAAGTATATAAGGAACTTGAGCATTTATGGGCTTTGATGTCCGTGGAGGTCCTAAAAGTTTCTACCTCATATTCAAGAAATTTAGGTACAAGAGAGAATACTTCCTGAGAGAAGCCTGTGCTGTTTTATTTACTCTCCTTTATGTATCTCTCCTTTAAAAAAAGTTTTAAGTTAGCTTATAAAGCATCATGTCCTCATTCAAGTAATCAAGTAACAGCAAAACTATCAAGTCTACTAAGCATTGGGAATGCAGCACCAAGTAAGTAGACACCATCTGTCTTCACTGCACCTCTCAGGAGATGTGCACATTAAACTGCTAATTAGACAAATAATTATTAAAAATTGTGATAAGAACTATGAGAGAAAAATAAGGAAAGCAGGAGAGTGGTTCTGCCTGAGCAGATCATCCCATGAGCCTGTCTTCTTCTACCTCTTGAATCATTGATTTTCTTGAGAATGTTCCAGTGTGCAGCCCCCCCCTGCTGAGGAGATTCTTAGGAGCTGGGGAGGTGGGAGGGGAGTCCTGGGGCTGGCCAGTGTCTGAAGCGGGGAGCAGTGAATTGGGGTCTCCTGTTGAGTCCTATTGTAGTGTGAGGAATACTACATTAAATGGATGAAAGCTTAGTTCCTCTACTAGGAAAATGAGCCCTTGTTGAAAATCATGGGTATACAAAGGCATAGGAATTTTCCTGTTTTCATTTTCCTCTGGCAGCTCTGCTGGTGTCCTTTATGTTCATAGGTGTTTCCGAAATTTCAGTACACATGGTCTCCATCTTGTATTCAAATTACACATTTCCTATGGGAATGACTATGCCTGTCTTAGGCGCTATCTCCTGCTGGCATTTCTGTGGAAGTCTGGAAGCTATGGGGCAGAGGCTCTCAGATTATATTCCAGCAAATCTGAAATGGAAACCACAGTAGTTAGGAGCTTGAGCTCTAGCATCTGACAGGTAAGAATTCAAATTCAGTCCTTAAGAAACTTAGGCCATTTCTCTAAGCATCACTTCCCTCTTCTGAGTGTGTGGGGGATGTGAGGTCCATCACTGGTAGCACCTGTCTTGTGGGCTGTTAGAAGTCAACTCTGTCAAGCTTGTAAGGTGGTTAGCACAGTGCCTTGCACCAAGGAAGCACTATTAAGTTGTTGTTACTGCTCTCATAGCAGTACGTGGAAGCATGAATCTGGTTAACAGGCACACTATCTTTTCAAGGGCCGTGCTCTTGGGGAGGTTAAATGGCACCAAGTCTTTGCCCAGGGCCATCACCAAGAAAGGAGAAAACTCCACGTGACTGTACTAAGTGGCCAGTGTTTTGTTGATACTGTGTATTCTAATCAGTATTATGAAATAATCATTGTATACCCTAGGATATCAACTATCAATTTAATACCTTTTCTTCCTTTGGAACAAATTTATTCACATTTCAAAAAATCTAGGCTATGGATTAAAATTTTAAAAACAATACCATATTTAGAAGTGAGAAATGTCAGTGCTAAATTTGTTCACATTTTAGCTGATTGGAGGCTATCTTATGGAGTGATTTGATACTCCCATGTTTGAGAAGGTGTGTCAGGGGTTTTGTTGTTCAGGCAGAGTGAGCACTGGAGTCTCTAGATGCCCTCTTGGGCTTTCCCACCTCAAGCAGACCAGAGAGCAGACGTTGTGATGACCAAGGGGTTTATTTCCCTGAAGCAGCCTACTGATAATTAAGAAAATCAAAATGCTGGGAGTCCACATTTGAAGATAATCTTTTCTTGGCACATAACATTCTTAAAGACTACAAGAATTTCATTGTTGTAGAAAAATATAATCTTTTTAGCTTACTTTGGCTCCTTTGAAAGTCAATTAGAAAGTGTTTCCCTTTGCACACTAAGGCTACACAGCCCATTATGTACACATCAGTTCTTCAGGGTGTATGTGGTACCAGTTAGAAGACTGTTGGTTTTCCATTGACTTGAAAGTTACTTTTTTGGGGGGTACTGGAGATCGAACTCAGGACCTTGCACTTGGGAGGCAGGCGGCAGAACCACTGAGCTAAATCCCCGGGCCCTACTTTTAAAATAACAGTCACGGTGTACCAATTGGCTTGAATCTCCTCCTTCCTTATATATGTATGTAATAGCCTCATATTTCTTAAAATTATGAATTCTAACCTAAACTTTGATAAGTAATTTATAAAATTCTTTATTTCTCAGTGACTGGTATGTTTGTAACTTTGCTAATTATTGTCCTGGAAAGTCTCACATCCAGTGAGGGACTACAACAGTAAGCTGTGGTGTTCTTGGGTGAAATAGTCAAGCTCGGTGAAATTGGAGATAGTTGCTGGGAGTTGCATTGTTGGATTGGTCAGAGCAGCCTTTATAGCGTGTGTTGCAATTAGTCCTTTAAGTGGGGAGTGTTGTTTTTTATTTTTTTAAATGCTAAAATGCTGATGGTAACCTTTGATTTAAAAGTAAGCTGAAGATGTATTTTCTGCCAGTTTCTGCTGGAGCTTAAAAAGCACTGTGATGCTGGAGATTTACATATTTTGATGATGGTTGGAGTAGCTGGCACAAAATAGATCAACACAGACATGCTTGAAGGTTTCAGTGGTTCTTTTTAGAGACTCACAAATAAGCATCAGAGTAACTCTCAAAATGCTTAACATCGTCATTTCTGTCTGGCTAGCCCGCTTTTAGTTTCAGTTATGTTTTTGCGTATTTGGCTATTGGACCAGAAAGGAGGAAAAATACCCAAAACATGACTTGGGTTTTCTTTCATTTGCTATGATCCTCTTATTTTTTTTTACTTGCAGAACGTTCCTGAGCCTGTGGCAGCCACTGAGATCCTGGCTGAGGTACCTGAACATGTGCTTCGAGGACTTCCAGAGGAAGTGAGACTTTTCCCATCTGCTGTTGACAAGACCCGTATCGGTGAGTACTCTGGTCACAGAGAGAGCATACAGCTTCCTGTGGAAGTGTCTAAGGTAGGCGGTGTGCCATACAAGGAACAGATTTACCCTTGATTCAGAAGATTATAGGATGTTTATGTATTTTCTAGTCAAGAGTCCAGGATGGCTTAACATTATAAAAATAAAACTAGGAGTACATCCCCCCACTAACCCTTCGTTTCTTGCTTAGATGTCCACTGTGTCTCCCTGGGCTTCTTCCCACTGAATGTGTTGTTCCTGCCTTTCTGATTTCACTGTGACTTGAATATAATTATGTTATGATGCTTATTTCATTTTCTAATTGTCTTTACATTTGTCCTGTCATTGATTGTGAATGCCTCCATTTCTTATTTATCTTTATGTCTCCAGTTCCAGGCATTCTGTAGACTCTCAGTAGATATTTGAGTGAGTGACATAAACTGAGTGTGTCCAGGTGCTTCTGGCAGGATTTCTTGTTGCATTCAAACCAACCTTGTGTATATTGCTCATGTTTTTGTGGTCTGACCTTTAGATGGAGAGCTAAGAAAGTAAATTATAAAATGTAGTCAAAGTACAGTCTTTAACACATCATATTTGTATTCTGTATCTGTTTTATTAAAGATGTACTTCTTATATTCCAGCTTATATGTATATATGTGTGAATGAGTTTTAATAAGAAATTTTCTTACTTCTCATTGGACATTCAATGAACAATTGGAGTATTTACTTTTTATTGTATAAATGAAAATGATTGATTTTATAGCTCAGCTCATTGTTAATGGTGTTATCAAATGCAATTCATAGCAGACTTACAGCAAAGTGGAATTCATGTATTCTAGCTGGACAGGACAAGCACAACCCCCCTTCTGTACATGAGGAAGCTGAGGCAAAAGATGAAGGAGCCTGTCTGAGGTGGCCTGGGTACCAGTTTTCCTGGGCTGGGCTCCTGATAGTTCTCCAGCTGCTGCTTCATCATATCTATTTGCTTATGGCCAATGCATAGGAAGTAGAAGTAATTCTGTAGCTATGATGGATGAGCATATATTTTGACTCTTTGAAACTCTGAAAAGTAAATTGTCCTACTAACTATAATTTTAGGAAGCTTAGCCAGAGGGAGATGCTTTCTACTTTATTTAAGCAGATGAGCTTCAAAAACATTTGTTCATAAAACCACGTTTCTAATCTTTATAAAAATAACTCATGTGTAGTGGAGACTATTTGAAATCTGTAGAGAAGCAGAATAAAGAGTTTAAATTGTAGGTTTACTCTGTTTAATATGTTTTTCTTCTTTGTGACTGTTATTTTTCAAGTATTTGTGATTATACTGTATGGACAGTTTTACATGTAAAAATTAAACATAAACCTTTTTTTTTCTAGAAAATAGTACAGGTCCTTTACAGACTATTAGAAAATACCCAAGGATATAAAGAAGGATAAAGAAGAATACCCAAGAATATAAAAATTTCTGTTGAGGCTTTGATTTAATTTGACTGAACTTGATCTCAGTGAATTTAACATTAACTTGCTTTTAGGCAGTATGTGTAGTCTTTGAACTACTTTGTGAAACTGAGTTGACTTTAATACTTTCAATCCTTAAAACAACCACAATACATTATTAAAATACTGATTCTGTTTTCTAGGTGTCTGGGCCACTAAACCTATTTTAAAAGGCAAAAAGTTTGGGCCATTTGTTGGTGATAAGAAAAAAAGATCTCAGGTTAAGAATAATGTGTACATGTGGGAGGTAAGAAAGAATTCTGATTCTTTGTTTATCAAAGTTGTATACATTTTGAACAAATTACTTTTTTTTCTTCAGGATTAGACATTTTAGAATTAAAACAATCATTTTAATATGTTCTTTAAAATCAAGAATGTTTTTATTAAAGAGAAAATGTTTCCCTGGATACAAACTACTATTTATATATGCTTTTGTGTTTTGAAACTAGTTGGCTGTCCTCAACAATAAATGTCAAATATGTCTTTATATTGCCTTGTCCAGGTTGTTTTGCTTTGCAACTGAGACCTTCCTGTGTGATGGTCTGTCACTTCACAGGTGACAGCAGATACACACCCTGAAAGACACTCTAAGGCAGCTACAAAGAAAACACCCTCTTTAGAAAGTAATTTCTGGGGATTTAGCTCAGTGGTTCGGGCACCTGCCTCGCAAATGCAAGGTCCCAAGTTTGATCCCCAGTACCAAAAAAAAAAGAAAAGAAAGTAATTTCTGTGTTGCTGGATTGTTCAGAGTTGGATGTATTTAATATCTCACATTTATATGAGCTTTTAATTTTTTGAAAGTAATCATTCTGTTAATTTCATATTTTCACAATAATTCAGGAAGACAATATGCAGCAGGGTGGTAGCACACTCCTTTAGAGAAGCAGCAGCCAGGAAACAGGAGCTCTTTTTGCCTATAAGGGCAAGGCTTCAGTGGTGCAGATGGAGAGCCAGAGTCTGTCTCCTGCTTAAATGGTGGGGCAGTTAAATGTTTTCATACTTTACCGGGGTTCAGATCTTGCTTCTAGCTTCATGATTTTGAGCAGGGTTCTTAACCTCTGGGCTATAAACTCCTCAAAAAAAGTGGAGACACAATAATATCACATTAGGATGGTTGAAAAGATAAAATGTATTGTTCCCTGGGTGTTGGATGGGAATTCTGCACTTACGTTGAATTTAGTTCAGATCTATGCCCTGAGGAAGCTCCTTCTGGCCTTAGAGGGATCTATAGTATGACTTCTTTTGAAGCAAGTTAAATTTTTCAGTAATCAGGAAAAACATTCTTATCTATTCAGCTGTTTTAGGTTGAATCACAGCTGCTTCTCACAGGTTAACATATAAAAGCCTGAAAGTTTAAAGAGTGGTTAGGAACTGTGTGGGCAATTCCCATCGGGAAGCTCTGGGCATTGGGAGGCTAGAGGTGTGGCTGTTTTTCTGAAGACCATAGCTTGATCTAACTGTTTCTTCCAGTCAGTCTGAATGTGTTTCCCATGAATCTGACATATTTCTGATAATTAAACCAGGGAGCTTTAGAAAAGGAGAATTTTCCATGAGAATCATTAACACTGTGTTATTTTACTGCTTTGAGGTAAAAGAGTAACTGTAGGAAAACTTGGCAGCCAAATGTTTTTTAATTACCGAAGACAATCCCTGCATCATTAAAAATGTCTTGACCACAAAATTATGGTCCAAAGGCATTGCATTTTTAAAGTTTCCCAGGGAAAACTTAACAAATATGCTGTCCCAGTTAGCACTCATCAGAGTAAAGCTGTTAGGTACAGAAAATGTTTACTTTAGTTCTGTGTGTATCATGCTAAGCTTGAACAAATGTCATTAATATTACAATTACGCTAATGGTGCCTGTTCTGCCCAGTGTAACAGTTTGATGTTGTTGGGCTTATTATTTCTCCTTCCTTGGATAAATTAATTAAGCTTCATTTGCATTGAAATTCATACATAGTATGACTTGATGATAATAGTGTGTTGGGGACTTGATTTCTACTATAAACTTGTTGACATTCCATTGTTAATTTAAAGTGCTGCTGTAGTTTGTAAATTCTCATGAGAGTACCAGTTCTTTTTAGCCAAGTTTAAGGATTTAGTTTTTGTCAAGGCTGGCTTTTCCTTCTAGCAATTGAAAAAAGTCTGGATATTGTTTTCAAGGCATATATTTTATATAGAAACCTTAAGCCCTTAATTATTTACTTCTGTTAAGAGTAGATCTATATGTATATGTAAATGGCAAAGGATGAGGTATAAATTATATTGTACATATTTCTTATATAGAAGAGATTGAAAATCAAGGTAAAATTTAGTTTTCCTCATTAATGTATCCCAATCCTGATTTATTGCCCAGCTTCCATCAGAATGCTTTTTACCTTAACCAAAAGGGCTTATTATCAGAATCTCATCTTGGTATTTGTTGCTCTATCAAAGCCCCTTAAGACTGGCTTATCTTTTAGCATCAGGGTCTTATACCCCAGCTAGAACTCTTTTTTAAAGCAAATTTAAGACAAAGTGTTAAATTGCTTATCTTGAGGTCTTGCTTATCTAACCCAGTCTTAAGTCCTCTAAGCTTTCACTGAAAACATTCTATTAAATCAGGAGTAACAGGAGAGAAACAGTAGAATATCTTCAGGTTGAATGCATAAAGTGGTGAGCTTCTTAAAAGAGAAGAGTGTGTCCTTTGATCTGGTTTTGGTGGGGAGCTACTAGGGAACTGAGGAGACTGCCTGTAGCACTTCTCTCCACCACCTGAGTTGTACTAAGCAGTGCACAGTATTTTTAAACCATCTCTGATAAAAGCCTTTTCAAATTTACTTCTTTTGCTTTCCAATTTCTTTTAATGAACAGGACCTTTAAAGTGTTTGAATAAGAATTATTTTAATGTCTGTTTTTTTCTAATAGATTTTATTTTTTTTATTTTTT